AATGTTTGCAGACAGAGAAAGAAATCGTATTAGGGATTTTACGGGAAGTCGCTTAAGAATGTTTCTGATGATTTCTTTGGGAACAAACGGTGTAATGCCATATATTATTGTCTGCTTCGACCTCTAATTGACTAGGCAATCAAAATGGCCTTCAGCTACAGATTTTATTTGGTAAACCTATTTATAAATCTGTTTTGAAAACAGTTTCTGTCCTTCAAAATAAAAAAATAAAAATATTTATTTAATAACGCATTTTTAAAAAGTGTTTTAAAGAATAAAAAAATAAAATATTATTTTAAAAAATAAAAAAATAGAAATAATTTTTAGGTATTCTGTGATTATTATTCTGAAGAATAAAAGAGAATAAAAAATACTTATTTTTATTATTTTTTTATTCTCAAAACATATTCTATAAAATATCAGTTCTCAAAATAATAAAATAAGAATAGTTTTAAACAATTTCTATATCTTTCTTTTTGTAAATTAAAATGATGGTTATTTTTTTTCCTCGACAAAATTACTAAAAAAAGTTGACCCCAAACTTAACTGGTCTGAAGGCCATGAGAATGTTTATAAAACCAGATTTTTTGTTGTCAACCATTGAGAACGATTAAACGACAACAATGCCCTAAATGACAAAAAACCAAAGTTGAGTTAGGTTGCTTGATATCAATATGCCACATGATTTTTTTAATGTCAATAATTTCATGTTAATATACAACACAAGATCCTTCAGTACTAATATATTAAATAAGTCTTTTGGTGACAATTTATTGAGTTCTCAAACATAAAGTCCTTCAATCAATTCAACGTCAATATATTATGAACACTTTAGGCCAAAAAAATATATATATTATGAAAAAAATACAAATACAGATACTTGTTTGATCCTGTAATAGTCTTTAATTTTAAATACCCTTAATCTCACTTTTTTATTATTAAAAACACCAAAAAATAGGGGAAAAATAAAAGTGAAATTTAATTCATTTTAGAATTACTTTTAAAAAATAAAAAAAAACGAAATCTAGTTTGTGTTAAGTGTTATTTTTTTTAAAAAAATATAAAGTCAATGAGCATCTTAAACCCTAATTATTACTTGAATAGCATCTTAAACCTTCAACTTTTAAAATGTGCAAAAACTCTTCTCAATTTTTAAATCTTTAGTGCCTAAAACCTCGTCTTTAAGTTGAAAAAACAACCATTATTTCTAAGGCTCAAGACAAGTAACACATCAGCATGTGACTGAGCCTCACAACTACAAAAATAATAGCTATTTTTTCTAACTTAATGGTGAAGTTTTAGGTGCTAGAAATTTAAAAGTTGAGGAGAATTTTTATACATTTCAAAAGCTTAATATTCAAGATGTCATTCACGCAATAATTTAAAGTCAAGGATGTTCATTAACATAAAAATATAAAATATAAGAAAATGAAATTTAATTCATTTTTAAGAATTATATTTCAAAAATAATAAATATAAAATAAAGTTAATCCTTTTTAAGCATTATTTTTTGAAAAAACGAAGAGAATAAATTTAATATATTTTTGTAATCAATTTTGAAAAAGAGAGATAAAAACCTTAATTAAATCTTGGGAAAAATGTCATTCAATGACCACTAAGGCAATTCATTGGACTCTACTTGTTTCAACCATGCGGGGAAAAAAAACCAAATAAGCAACTTGAATGAAATAATGCAGGTATAAATTTCATTGTTGGGTGGATCTATTTATCTTTCCATATATATATATATACATACATATGAATGTATGTATGTATGTATGTATGTATGTATAGCTCCCTATCCAGAGGAGGGACAGGCTGTAGAGAAGGCATTTGGTAAGTTGATTCCATTAGTGGTTAAGGGGAAAAGGACCATTCTCCATAATTCCACATTTCTATCTTACTCTTGCTTTTATTAGTCATTGATTTCTCATTATTAGAGACAATATTGTTGGAAATACAAACCAACCCTAAATTTGAGTATATTTCATCGGTAATTTGAACTTTGGTGAATCTCTTCCTCTTGACTCATTTTTCGTTAATCTGTCTAAGTCTTTTGATCATCTTCCTTAGCTAACTGTTTCATTCATTGATTCATTCTTCTTCATCAATTCTTTTTTCACACATTATTATTATTATTATTATTATTATGCCCATATCTGTTTTTGAGACCACTCTCTTTCATGATGACTGTCCCAAATTTCTCCTTTTTTTTTGTTTTTTGCATTCAAAAATTTAAGTTTCTTTTGGAGGGGAAAATGAGTAAAGAAAACTGAAACCCATTTTAATTTAAATAATAAGGCATTTTTCAGAACGAAATAAATACAGTGGCAAGAGTAAAAGAGAGTGTATATCATTTTGTTAAAGTTATTGGAAGTCACAGGATTCACAAATTATATATACAATGCAACTCATTTTAAATTTCATGTAAATTCACGGAACCCATTTTAATGTAAATTAAATTATTTAAATCAAATACAGATAATTGATTTCTTCTACAATAATATTAATATTTGTAGTTCTAAGATAAATAGACAAAATAAAAAAATTGAAAGATAATTAATTTAAAAATTTCTGAATTAAAAATTGATAATTTAAACATTTTAAATTAGTTCTGACGATTTAATTTAAACGGCATGAATCAAGCTTCTTCTAGATTAAAAGGTCTTGTTTGCTGGTTTCATCATGAATCAGATGTAGAAAGGTCCCACTTCTTTTTGCAAGTGTCTTGTGTCCCATTCTAGGTCATTCAAAGTGGCAACTCAGAAACCAAGGATGATGATGATAAAGAAGACAATATTTTTCTGGGAGTATCTGATATTCTGAACCAACCTCACATTGAGCTGAGTGGATCTAGCAAAACTCTTACTAATCCCAATCGAGTCAGGATTGGATCCTTTCAAACAGAAGATCTATAACTAACATTGTTGTATCTAGTCAAGCCAGCATAACTCTCTTATTAGTTAAACCAAACATCCATGAGACGAAGACAAGTTATTTGATTACCACTATAACACCCTTAAAGCGTTTAATCATGCAAAGCCCTCACGTGAAAAAAGAAAAAAGAAAAAAGAAAAGGACAACAATGTTATCCAAACAAAACTAGACCACCAATATTATTGGATGGATTGAAATGCTTGAATCAATAAATATAACACATTAAAGAACTTTCTCTTATTCAGAATCCATCTGACTCAAATTTAAATTAGTAATATTAGAAAGTAAATGACCTGCTATTTGAAAAAAGAAAAACAAAAGAAAGAGAGAAAAAACCTAGGCAAATATAATGGCATAACTATGAAACTCAAATAACTATTTAAAGTAAAATTACTGAAATAATTATTCAATCCTTTAAGTAAACTTTGGACTACAAACTCTGTAGGTAGGAAAAAAAAAACTTAAATTAGTCGGTAGAATTAATATTGAATTACTTGTTATTTGTTAACAATGAGAAAAACAGGGCCAAGAATTTTGTGGAATGTTTAGTTTCATTTTTTGAATAGCATGAAAGTGGAAACTTACTTTCCGACATTAGTGGGTGATAATTGAAATCTATGCTTAAAGAAACAGCAATACCTATATATCTATAAACAATGATCTGCACACACCATTATGAGATATGAGTGCTCATTAAAATTTTTAGCTTCTGGCTTTTCATCTAAATCTGATAGATTTTATCTGAAAATTGAATGAAAGAGTGATAGTGATTGGAGGAGCAAGGTGGCTAAGCGCACACAAATAAATATTTTTTATTGTTCTATTTATAATTCATTTTCAATATATTTTATCAAAATTAAAAAAAATAAAATTTATTAACTTTATTTAAAAATTTAATAAATTTTTAACTTTATTTTTATTTATAAATCACCCGTCAGCATTTAATAAAAATTCAAAAAATAAAAACTCATAATGAGAAAAAGTTTTCTCTCTTCATCTTATAATTTGACAGGTGGGAATATGCGTTAGAATGATTGAAGTTTCCATGTAAACCAACCATGGAGAAAAGGAGCATTAAAGGGACAAGTGAGTGTAAAGATTACTTTCAAGCAATGTGTGGAGCATTCACTAGAACCCATTTGGTCTCCTTCCTTTGCTTCCCCATAATCCCCAAAAAAGACAAGTCTTGTTCCATCCTTTTATCACACATCACCTTCCACGGTACTTTGTCCCCCTGTTCGTTAACCTCACATATCATGTATTTACACTTTTTATTATTATTTTTTCTTTTTTGAAAAACAAAAACAAAAGAAAAGGAGTCTTGTGCTCAACATGGTCCATGCTATATGTTTAGGAGTAGTACATTAGCATAAGGTTTGGAATCCCGCAAGGAGAGATGCCAGTATTTAGTGTTCCAATCATACACTTGTTATTATTATTTTATCTCACAATATTACTTTTTTTTAAAAAAGGATATTTGTGACCAAACAAAAATGTAGTGTTTTTTTCTGTATTTTAAAAATTATCTTTTTTAATGGTTACTTTAGAATAATCTTTTTACGTTTTTTAATGTGTGTGTGTGTATACATTTTGAAAATTGAAAAAAATACACTTATTCAAAAAAAAAAAAGTAAACTAATGCGTTATTTTAAAAAATTGTATGTTCTAACAACAAATAAAATATACATATTTACCATTTATTTTAAACGATATTTTTATATATTTGAAAATATTAAAAGAAAATCATGTTATGTCAACGACATTTGAAATTGTTCATGTATTTTTTTATCAAAAAAAATATCTATAATTCAAGAAAAAAAAAAAAGTTTGAATATATTTTTAAAAATTAAAACTAAATACATAAATTATAAAATTAAAAAATCAATAAATTGTGTAAGCTACTTTATATTCAATAAATAGGATATACTTTATGCATCCGAATGTCCCATACCAAATCGTTAAAATTAAATTCTGACCATCACATTTAGTTAAGAATTTATTGTTCTAGTCCCTAAAGTGCATGAACTAATCCAAAAACTCCAACCAGAATATTCAATATCCTGTTTCGTCCATAAATAACCACATGGCAAGCTTGATTACTTAACTAAATTGCACATTACAAATAATCTTCTTCCATTCCAGCTTATTCAAACCACAACAGCCATATATGTAATACCAAACACACCAGACCAGAGACTGAATAGCTACTAGTAAAACATCTAGCAGAAACATATACACAAAACTCTAAAGGAGAAAAGCCAACTTATTCCCACTATGTTACAAGAAAAGGCTTGACAAGGAAGAAGAAACAACACTAATTCTGATACTCCATTGTATTGTACATACCAAAACCTGCCAAGGGCAAGAAACAAAGGAGTCAACAAAGAGAAACAAGAGATTAGATATACTGATTCTATATTATTCTCTGCATATATTCGAAGTGTATCACATATATATGGGTTGACGTTGAACTGCATAATTGTAGTTAGGTGAATTGAATGTTAGTACTACAAACTAATTTAAAATTCTTCAGGTGTAGATAGCTAAATGCTTCAAGAATGGAAGATGTCACCACCCATAAAGAAAAACCATACTGTTACTTTTAGACTTAAGTAAGTGCATATTAAATGAACTAGTACAGCATCATTTCTGAGGTCATGAACTCAGAAAGTGGATAAACAAACATTATAAAGAATGTTAATTTAATTTACACAGAAAGATTCCACAAGTTAGTGATGTATTTTTAAGTTTATTTTTTCGGCCAGTTTAACTACTATGGATCTAAATTAGTCAGGACAATAGTGAGCTGTTCTTGTTTCAAATAATAAAAAGATAATATAACATAGCACAAAACAAAACTTTTCTCAGTATTCATCGCTGGCTATAGCAATGCAGTGAAGTGAGGAAAAGTACTAAAACAGAATAACTAGTTGTAAACAGTAACTGATTGAAGACTGAGAAATCTCTGCAGATTATAAGTAAATATAGATTTAAACTGAGAATTTATACCATTAGCGTGCTATTTAAGAGCGATGAAGACTCTCGTTTTGCTCACATTTTTTGAGTTTGGTGAAAGTGATATTAAGCCCTACGATTGACCATTTCCATGAAACGCTGGTCAGATTCCAGCCTCTGTAGCCTCATTTGGTTGATGAAGTTTTGAATAAACGCATCGGCTCGCCGGTTCAGCTCTTCGGGAGTCATGGATATGTCCCTCCGAAGCGACGCCGTGTCGTTGAAAGTTTCAGATTTTTTCAGCTCCTTGCGAGCCCAAGCCACCAGGTCGTCTTCTCCATCTTCATTTTCCCGAAATGGCTCTGCTTTCTCAATCCTCGCACCCCACGTGTCACTCTTCTTCAGCTGCGGCGTCTTCGTCTTCCCCTGCCCCTCCATGATCGCCCTCCACGTGGCATCTAGCGTGTCATCGGCATCCGGCGACACATAATCGTTGGCACATTTTTCCGGCGATCGGTTGGCACCGGACTTGTCGCAGGACGAAGCAGAGTCTTCAAGCACTACTTTTTTTTCTTCTATGGGATCATTGCTCTGGCTTTCAAGCTCCGATTGGTGGACGGGAGTGACGTCGGGAATGGCGTAATCAGATTCAGTTATGACATCGTCGGCGGCGGAGACGGTGGTTGTGCGCTTGAGATCAGGGGGTGGGGAATGATCGGAAAAGGTGACAGTTTTGTAGTGGAAGTTGGAGGAAGCAACAATGATGATGATGATGAAGTTGACGATGATGTACACGAACACTGGGGAAAGCAAGGTTCTTGTAGAAACAAGAAGACGAGGAAAAGTGGAGAGAGCGAAATCAAAAGCACAAGGGATTATCGCCACCTTCAACAAAACCAGAATGGTAATAACCCCCATGGACATAAACACAATCCTAGCAGCCCCTAAAGCCGCCTCCAATCTGTTTGATTTCAGCGAAGATGGGGTTCGAAAAAGATCCATCTTTGGAGAACCAGACAAAGAAAACAAGAACTGATTTTCCGCTAAAAGCTGTGAGGGTAGGAGAAACACGACGAGCACAGCGATACCCAGAATTTAAAAAGTCTTGGGCGAAGAGGAATGAAAAAAATCAAACAGGTAAGAAACAAGCAAGAATTTTCTGGGGAAAAAAAACAGAGAAGGAAAGTCTAGAAACAGGGGCGTAATGATTGATTTGGGACTGATATGAGGAAGGAGGGAATGGAATGAAAGAAAATGGATGAGAGAGTGAGAGTGAGAGTACAGAATGAGGTTTGTGTTAGCGAGTGAAGACGATGCCACCAGGGGTGAGGGGAGGAGAGGATCGATCTATACGAGCAACGAAGGTGGAACAAAATTGTGGACATGGCAAGGTTTGATTTATAGTCCTTCATCACTGTTTTGAATTTTAATTTTCGGCCAAAAAAATATTTGAGTTTCTTTTTATAAATCATTTATTATTGATGTGATGGATCAAAATTAAGGTGTTGAAATACATATGGGATGGTATAATTTTTAATCTACAAATTTGTTTAATTATCAAATTTTTTTAATTATTGATTTTGTTTTTGAATTTTAAATTAATTTAATTCAGTTCTTGTATTTTATTGAATTTTTTTAACAAAAATAATCAATTTTGTTAACCATAAAAAACTATACATTTATTAATATCCAAAAACACTTCAAAAAAAAAACCTAAAATACAACTTACTCCAACACACATCTAATTAAAAAAAAAAAAAACAAACAATCAAGAACCAAACGAAGGCAGTAAACCAAATAAAAAAAATTAAAACTGGAATTAGTGTTTTATTAAATTAAAAAATCATAAGAATTGAGTTGTGTTAAACTAAAAAATTATAATAATTAAATTTTTTTATTTAAAAAATAAAAAATAATTAAGCTTTTTTGAGGTGGATTAAATTGATAATTAAAAAATCTGCATATCAAAAGTTATTATTTTTTCAATATTTTTCTTTGATTTTTACTAGCTTTATCAGTAGTTTCTTTATTAAAATATGTAGAAAATTGTAAAATTTAAAATAAATTTATGAAAGAATAATAAAGAAGTCCCAAAAAAAATTCATTAATTTAAGTTATATCTCAAGTGTCAAATTTTAAAAATTTATACATCAAACTTTTAATTTTGTAACTTTATTATGGTGAATTTGTAATTTATTTTTTTAAATTTTAATATGATTGAAAAATAAAAAAATTAAATTTTTTTATTTTTCAACTATGTTAAACTTAAAAAAAATAACTTATAAATACATCACAACATACTTGCAAAATTAAAAGATAGATTTATAAATTTTTAAAGTTTAACATTTTGAATCTAACTTAAATTATTTAGTCCTTTTGATACTTTTTTTATCATTCTCCCTAAATTTATACGTGACAAGGAAATTGAATATGCACAGAAAGTTGAAAGAATACCAATATATGAAACCGAATAAATTTTTTCATACAAATTAAAAATAGTATAAATAATATGTTTCTATGAATTTATGACTTATATTGATATTGAAAAAAAAAAATCTCAACAACAAATATCAAGGAGATATTTAAAACATTGATATTTAAAGAAATTTCGGTTTAAATGTGTTTAGGGTCAAGAACTAGGTGGACATCTTATACATCACAAATAATTCAAAACATAAACCATGGCATTAATAAATTTATATAAGACTTTTGTGATAAACCCTTACATATGAAGCAAACCAACTCAAACGGCTTTGGAGCCAAAAAATAATAATAATAATAATTGGAAAAAAGTGTACTGTATTTTTTTTCCAGCAACAAAAGTATATTTTTACCCTTAACATATTCTAAAAATATTATTAAAAATATCCTTACACTTTATTCAAATTTTGTTATAAATTTATGTACCTTTTTTATATTTTAAATTCTTACATTTTTATTTTTTTAATATTTCATGTCCCTCTATGAGTGGTGTTATAGAGACCTAAAATATTGAAAATTAAAAGTTCTAGATCTCTCTATGAGAAGTGTTATAAAAATCTAAAATATTAAAAAATAAAAATGTAAGAATCTAGAATATTAAAAAAAAATGTAGGAAGCTATTACAAGTTTAAGTAAAATAAAAGGACATAAAGTTATATTTTCTCAATATTATTAGTAGAGGATACTCCTTATCTCGTTTTTTTAAAATGTGTAATAAACCAATTTACTCTTCAATATCCATAATCCTCATATTTGACGCCCAGAAAATTCCGTGGTGTGAATGACAAAACAAAAATAATTGATAATCAATTAGACAAACATACATATGTGATGAATAAGCTTAAAAATTAGATGGCTTCCACATAAAACCAAGAAAGGACTTAAATAAATAAGGTTAAAATACACATATAATCTTTTAACTTTATACTACAAAGGTTCATTTTAATCATTTAATTTTTATGAATTGTATTTTTAATTTTTTAACTCTAAAACCGTTAGTTTCATCCAAAAAAATTTTACATTGACACAAAAAATAATAATTTAAAATTAATAATATTAGAATTAAAAATTAAAAAATATTTTATAAAATTAAAGAATAAAATTAAAATTAAAATTTTATATAAAATGAGGATGAAAAATATACTTTAACTAATGAATAAATAAATAACTAGAGGAAGAAACGCAGACTTTTTCTTGTCTGTGAACTTTCTTTGAAGATATTTATTTCGATACCCCTCCTAGACAAATCATTGCATATGGTGGTCATTTAATAAAAAAATAAATAGACAAATAAGAGAAAGGACTTATTTTTACTATAAGAGTAATGGACAACTAAATAAATGCATGTTTATTATATGAAATTGAATGAATTAAACACACTATTTATAAATTTATTGTTGAAATTATAGTGTGATATGTTATAAATTTTATTTTAATATACTAATATTAATTACAAAAAGCTTCAAGCATTTGCATAAAATTTTTAGAAAATTAGACTATTTACAACTTATGGACAATAAGACTTGTTATATTTTGGATATTTTTATTGATATTTTTGATTGTGTTTTACTTTTTTTTTCTTGTTATTTTGGATGACTAAATTAAATAGTTCGATAAAAAAATTACATAAAGAAAAAAAGGCATTGAGTTGGAGCCGTTAAGCCCCGCGGCCATGATCGCAACTTGCTAGAATTGCGGAAGCGATAAGAGCTTTTGCTTTCACAATCCTAAAAGAGCTGGTGGCCACAACATCCAACCATATAAAGCCAAATTGCTTCAAATTTTATTTAAACTATATTTATTCTCATGAAAGGTGCGAGAATATTTTAATATTTGAATTTAAAATGTAAATAAAAATTAAAAAATAATTTATTTTATAATGAATATAAAGAAAAATTCATTGCCCCCAAGTAATTCCCACATAATTAAATTAAAATTTAAATGGCACAGTTCTCTGCTCTCGCATCAGTTTTGATCACTTGCATTTGTCTCTTTTGGGTACATACATGTATGTGGTGAGTGAACATATAATGCATCGCTTTTTTCTACGTGAGAAGAGTCACTATTTTTTTTAATATGAGAAAAGAGAAGGATACGTAGATGTACGTAAGCATTTGTATTTGATATTTTAGAAACAAAACGTACGTACGTACGTACATACATACATATACGTGACCCTTAACATATCAAGGATCCCTCGACTCGTCAACCTTAAACCGTGTCTGAAAATATTGCATAAGATGTTGATTTTTAAAGTTTTGGAGAAAAGATATTTTTATCCTAAAGTGGTCATATTAATGGATTCTTAATTTAAAATAATTTTGTAATTAAAGTGTAATATTTCTCAAGTTATAAAATAACGACGTACTCATTGACCTATTTTCTTGAGGATAATAATTTCATTTACTACTTATATAAACATTTCCTCATCGCAAATACATTTTTTTTATTGTTTACAGTTTTAATAGCGGTGAATAAACTTCGAATTTATGTAGATCTAAGTCGTTCGAATAAAGTACTTTTTCTTTAAAAAAAAAAAGAGAGGAAATGACATGATTATTAATGAGAATTCCCACGGAAATATCTTGCAAATTATAGAGTGGATCAACCATTGAAAGCACGAGTATTTCTTTTTATTTATTTTGCAAATGGAATTTCGGGTGCCTTTTGTTTTTGTGATTTCCTCTTTTTAATTTGTTTGTCCCCATCACAAGCCAAGACTTTTGGTTTCTGCTTATTTAGGGCTTGTATTCTGTCTCGCTCTTGAAATTTATATTGTCATGTTCTTTAGTTTTCTTAAAGTATATTTGAACCCTTCAATGTTTTTTTCTTAAAAATATCAGATGATATAACATTGCACCAACTAAGATTATAAGATTATATGAAAATAATTGAAAATCTTTATCATTCATGCATTTTGAAAAGAAAGGTAGGGCCTGTTTATTTAAAATTAAAAATAATAATTTTTAGATAATTTAGATATTTAAAAAAAGATATATTTTGTAACGAATTTATATTAAAGGGCAGACATTATTTATGTCTCGTTACCGTAATAAAAATTATTTTTATTTAATTATTTTTAATTTTATGATATTTTCATCGATCTCTATTTTAAAAAAAATAATTTACTTTTTAGTTATTGTAAAATTTTATGATACCTTAACAAATTTTCACATTTTTATGGTATTTTTTTCCATTTATTAGATCAGGTTATTTCGAAAGTTACTCAAAATAACTTTTTAAAATAATAAAAAATTGCTTTTTTAAAAAAATTTATAAAAATTTTAAAAATATATTAACATCATTAAAAAAAAGTTTAAACAAACGGCCAAGACCATCGTTTATTTTTTATTTTTCTCTGTACATAAATTAAACGTAAAGTGTTTTGGCCAAAACCAGTCTAAAAAGCGGAGTAACATTTTTCAAAAAGTCATGTCGTTGGTTTTGCTTCGTACCAATATAACCTTTTTTTTTTTTTTTTACCAACTTGCCTAACATAACCTAATTGGGGACTTAAGTTCAATGTTACGTACTTGTTCATGAAACAGGTTATGTTCTAGATAGAGTAATCTTTTTTAGTTAGATGAGAAAAGAGGTGTAGCTTCGTGGTAATTAGGGCATCTCTTTCATGGATTTGATGTATGTTTTAGAGTTTACTTGTAATTATACAATGTAGCTACGTTGATTTATGCACCGAGATATCTCTTTATGCCTACGCGTTCAATCTGATCTTCATCAGTGCAACGCACTATTTAATAACATATTTATCCTTGTCAAGCAAAAATAATAGTCATTAAGAAATTAACGCTTTAGCAAAAACATAAATAAATAAATAAATAACGCAGCGACAGAGTAGATCTCTGATTTTTAATTCATCGTCTTATTTTCATG